AAGAGTACACGTACATCAGTAAAATGTCAATACCTTATTAATGAATACTTTTAAGATACTGTATTTAGGAAGTGAATCTTTATAAAAAAATTTTCTTATATAAACTATCATTTACAAAAGCTTGCTCACTATTTTTGGCTCTTTTTGCATTATTAACTCTTAACCACTATAAGGGCTTAAAATGTTGTAATCTTCATAGTATTTATAAGACTATTATATTTACAGATATGTCAGTGATCATTTTATATCAAAATCGATATTTTAGTCAAGTGTTAATAAATGCAATTTATTCTATCTTTTTATTTTCAATTACTTGGTATTTTCTTATTTGCAATGTAGTTAATAATAAAAAAGTTAGATAATTTTAACCTATTTTAAATATGATTATTATACATTTTCTGATTTCTATAAAATATTATCATGGCACTGAAAAATAATATTAACATTAAAAAATTTATATGTTTGATTTAAATTTGTTTTGTCTTAAACTCCTTTTCAATAACAATCATAGTTTAAAAAAAAAAAAACGGTTATAACACTAAAATGCAATAGATTATAGAATAAAAGAGGTATATAATTACAAAAGTTTAATTGGATAAATTTTATCTAATTTGTAAATGGAATTTCTATCAGGTTAAATTTTTAAATAAGAAATTGTTAATATTTTGTTAAAGTAACAAAACATCAAAATAAATAATCCAAATGGAATTATTTACAAAAAGCATCATTCATATTTTAAGGCTTTACAATGTGAATTTTATGTTCTATTGTACTTCTACACATTGGACAACCTGAAGAAATCATATTTGCACAACCTGAACAGCAACAAAGATGTCCGCATGGCAGAAAAATTACTTCACACTATAAGAAATATAGAAATGAATTGTTTTATTTAATATTATTATTCTAGAAGTTTTTGAAACAAAATGAAAATTATACCTACTTGTAAATCAAGGCAAATGACACATTCGGCAGTATTGATACTTTGGGTAGTGTTATATTCTTCATAGTTAGAACTTGTACATGCTTCTTCAGGTGGTGCAGATGGTATTATAGGTGTTCTAGATTCGTTGAGTTTCAGTTCTGCTAAATAATTCTCAACTGCAAGTCTTATAGCAGTGCGATCACTTTCAGAATGTATTCCAATCTATAATATTAAGAATGTATGATTTATTTTAAAGTAGAAAATATCTCTTGTATATATTAAAAGATATTGATATTTTACATACTGTTTTCAATTGTTCATCACTAAGATCGGGAAGTAACGATGGTAGAGAAGCTAAAAATGGCAAACAATGTAATGCACCCGCTATTGCAACATGTCGCACTAACATAGGCTCTAGCATTTCTAATAAGCCCTGTGGACGTGCTTCCATTAAGGACTGATATTGCATCAACCAAAATTGACTTTCTCTTCTAGAGTTCTTCAAAAATAAAAATATAGTTTTATAAATATTATTATCGTAAGAAAAATAAAATAACGTTTGAACCGATACTTACATTAATACAACGTTGTTGTTCTATACTATTAATTGTTTCCAGAAGTTGATCTCTTCTGTGTTTCTGTTGTTCTAACAGGTTCATTAGAATAGTACTCAAAGTGACTCTTTTTTCAGCTATTTCATTCTGTTATGTAAAATAGTAAAAGATCTTTAGAATAAGGGAAACAACTGTATATGAAGAAACTTAATAACTGTAGGTACTACATACAAGTTGTTGGTTAATTTCTAGTTTTCTTCTCTCCAATTCAATATTCGTAAGTGCTGCTAATTGTGACTGTACCAAATTGACTTGTTGTACAATACTCCAACAACGTGCATCACTACGTTCTAATAACGCGGCAACAGCAGCTTTCTGTAAAACTTCATCTTGTCTTAATGTATCAATTAAATTTTGTCTGTTCTTCTCTTGATTTTGCACTATTTGTGCTAAATGATCATTATTCCTTACTTCTCTGAAATATTCGTAAGATTTTAAATGTATTAGTTTTATACTTTTGTATGAAACGTTATTATTAACATCCTACTAACAGTGTGAGCAAAGATTGCGCAGCATAATCTCTATATTTACTATGCTCTTCTAATTTTCTGGTTCTGTGAAGTTCTTCTTCAAGTAACTTTTCCATTGAAACTATAAAAAAAAAAACACCAACATAAATATAAAATTACAATATTTAATGCTAATTAAAATTAAAAATTAAAATATTTAATACTAACGAAGAGTATCCTTTGTACGAAACATAAATTGCTCTGAATGACACGAGGATAGTAAGCGCATTTCTTCTTGTTTTTCCCGTTCTAATAATTCTGCTTGGCTTTGTCTTTCTTCCTCACTATTTCTTAAAAATTCTTTGATAACATTGTCTGCTTCTTTCTCAGCTAAACATAATATTAACATTTTAAAAATTTTAAATTCTTTGTAAATGTATGAAAGTAAGCGTGCTCTATTAGAATCTCTTTCTTGTTGTACTTTTTCTAATTCATGCTGTAATTGTGTTTGTTGTAAAGCAAGATCTTCCAAAAGCTAAAAGTCAAAATGTTTTAATAATTTTTAAAATTTATTTGGCATAAAAGTGAAAAACATTGGTTGTAAATCAATCATTTTAATCTTAAGTACCTTTTTCCTGTGTTCTTTCAACATTGATTGAATTCCTATTTCATATTCTTGTTGCTGTTTGATGTTCCTTTCTACTTCCAATAATGCATTTTGACGGTGCTCCTGTAAAATAAAGTTAACTTTTTAATAATAATCTTGAAATTGCACATTAGTTTTTAATTTACTAAAATATGCTACAAATAATTATTTAAAAATAATGCAAGCAAAATCAGGCATTGCTGAAATATATAGTACTAATAAATATGTAAATTAATTTTATTTTTAAACATATTAAATACTTCATAAATCAAAATTAGGTTTCACAATAAACAATAGTAAATGTGCAGTGAGACATATTTCAAAACATACTAAAATAAAAAAAGCATCCACATGCCTTCATTTTTTCTAGATTCTGCAATGCTGCCTAAAAATAAAAATGAAAACATTTAAGACACACTGTGCAAGTGCAACATCAAAGTTCATGGTTCTGTAACATATAATACCTGTACATCATTATCTTTATTATGATATACCCCTTGCATATCCTCAGAACTTATGTCTCTTGATAAATCTGTTTCTGAAAGAGACTCTTCTGGTGAATATTTAATACCACTTTCAGTTGCTAAAAATGCTATGATTACTATTGTGCCCCCGTTTAAAATATCTTGGGGTGGATATGACAGGTTTAACCCATCAATATTTAACTGTGCTAATTGTTGTGCATAACCCAAAGACTTAGGAAGTTTATGAAGGGATTTATTGTAACTAATATCCAATGTAGTAAGTTGTTTCAATTTTCCTATTGTCTCTGGTAATAGTTTCAAGCTGTTTTTTGCAACATTTAAAATGTTTAGTTTACTTAAATGTACTATTTCATTTGGCAGTTTTCTTATATTGTTGTCTTGTAAGTAAAGTTCCTAAAATGTATCATATTGTGAAAAGATGATTTATGAATTTTAAACTTATATAATTTTAATAACTGAATATTTAAATTACGTATACCTTGAGAGAAGCAAGACACATTATATCTGATGGTAAATTAGTAAATTCGTTTCCATGAATATCTAATACAACAAGTAATGACAAATCGCTTAAGGCACCTCCACCCAAAAGTGAAGTTAACTTGTTATTATACATCCATAGCACCTTCTTTCTAAATACTTTACATAATGAATAAATACCAGAGGGTACATGTTTTAAAGCACATTCAGACACATCAAATATTGGTTCTGGATTTTCTCTGGCCTATTACAATAAATAGTTATATTTATATATGTAAACATTAGTAATGGGAATAATATTGCATTTTTATCATTAAGGAAAATAAAACAATGTATTGTCAATAAATTGATTAAATTAAGACTTGATAAATAAGAAGGACATAAAGTACTTTATAAATTTTTAGTTTATAAAGATATAAGGTATTAAATGAGAAAATAATAGAAAATAATAAGGTATCAAATGAGATTTATTATATCTAGGTTAAAACGGTGTAAAGCTGAAGAACCAAGGTTACTGATCATATGAGCAAATTGAGTAATTAACCTCCATTTATTAAAAGACGTACCAGGTATAACTTGCGTTCCAATCGTGCTTTATAATCGACGTTAACCTTGTTCCCATGCTTTCGCGGTAGAGACATCATTAATCGTGTATGTCATGACAATAATGGAAAATTATGAGTCATCCTGCCATCGGTTTCTCTTAAACTACTAACACGTGATTTCGTGTACTTTGCAAAACACTAACCAACATCTGTCAAATTGACAGTTAGTTGGTAAAATGCACGAAGCAGTGACGTACCTTAGCACTTTCACTACCCTTAGAAACATATAAGATTACTTTGAAAACAATTTTCTTAAGGATGTTATTATTAAGTAGTTAATTCATTTTTTTTTATTAAAACAGCAAAAAATGTGGAATTTATACAAGCATTAGAAATTAATATTTTTCAGACGATTCGAATATTTTTTAAATATATCGTTTATTTATAAAGGTACGAAGCTAAATAAAAACTGTAACTAATAACAATTTAAGTATTTTATTGAACTATACATTGTCATAGAAAGAAACGAGTCATAAATATCGTATAAAACATTCTATACACGAGAATAACAATCGATTTTATTTTTAAATAGTCGAAATGTTGATCGATTCTTATGTATATCAATTCGTGCAATATAAACAACAGCAGTAATTCACAAGTCTCGCCGTTTTGTATTACTTTATTATCTAAAACATTGTAGTGTACTTATATACGTTAATAAATAATCTAAAAAAATAGGCAGTTGGCGTGTATGTACATCTAAAATTCGATGGAACTAATTCGGATATTTAATTCACTAAAGAGGTATGTAAAGTCTTTGTACGAATACTATTCGGTCCATACGTAAACTTAAAAAATATGTAGTATGGACTAGAAGCTCTGATCGCTACTCAAGTTCGAGCGTTTTTTTCTTGTTTTAACGTGTTTCAGTATCGTTTTCTCGTTTTAACTATACTGTTCTACACACAGTTCAAGATTTTCGGATAGAAATAACGAGCAGCTACGATTCCTTTACAAAAGTACCAACATTATATAAGAAAAAAAAAAAATCCTCCAATGATTTCGTTGTTCGTTACAAGTTTTGCGAGAGTTCTCTCTGTCTCAATCGATATTCCGTTGGTGTAAGCATACCCCTAAAAATAATAATGGTTCTCTTAATCCAATTAAAATTAAATATTAATACGATTAGAATATAAATATATATTTTTATCGCTGATATTTAATTATCTTCAACGGTATACAGTATGATAAATCGTAAATATTTATTAGGTATTGTATTCAAACCTTAAAACCGTGTCAAAAGACACGCAAACTCCTTTGTCACACATTTTCCTATAAAGGTGCCAGCATTCTTTTTCTTTGTTAGTTTGAAAGTGTGGTTCCGTCGACGTAGACTGCGCGTGTTGAACAATTTCCTTCGAAGGCGGAACGAATGCAGATTTCATCTAAGAATTTCACCAAAATTTCCCTAACAATTTCAAATAAATTTATCGCATTTAACGACAAAGCGTTCGCCTTACATTCGCAGGAGAATTATTCGCAAATGTTTTAGTTTGTTGCGCAGGAACCTCGATTTTCTGGGACATAATTATCGGTGTTTCCTGTATCTTTACCTCCGATGGTATCGTTTGTCTTTCCATCGCGCTGTAACAAAATTGAATTCAACATTTCCGTCCTCGTCCGTGTAATCTTATCTTCAACATTCGATCTTTCTGACGAGAAATTACACAAAGAGAACAGGAGAGACGAAAAAAAGAGAAATACGTATATTTTCGTCGAATATAATTCCCGGTGAACGAATCGAGAAATCTATTATCGATCGTGCATTTTTGTTAGCCTTGGGTAAAGAAGAAACGTATTATAAGAGCTATTAATACAGTTCGTTCACGATCGTTTACCCTATTTCTATCATCGTAGGCCTCTTATCGTACCGTCTCACCTCTTCATTTATACCATATAAAATTCCCCTTACAATCGAAATCGTGCCGTGATTTTCAAGCACTATCATAGAGTGAAAATTGCTACTGTACCTGTTGTCGCCGCTAAATTCCTATCACGAACGCATAATAAAGTCGGATAGAAAAGAATTTCACTTAAGATTGATCGTTCCGCGGTTAAATAACTATACGTTGTGGTGTTACATCATTGTTATGCAAACACGGATGAAATTCCCACACGACGATAAGCGTGTATATGAGAAATTCAATACACTGTGATCTCTCTGTTTATTTCTCTCGTTACTACAAACGTTGAAGCACACAACGAAGAAATAATCCAAATAATCGTATGCAAAAATTAATGTAAAATCATGTAACTCTCTGTGTGAAATGTTTTTTCTTTTTGGATCAACAAAAAAAATACTTTTCTCTTCTAATCGTGACTCTATTTCTGATAATAAAATGTACCCATTACTGTACTATAGTAATTTAGCTCGATCGGTATTGCCGTGCAAGTGATTCTTCGACAATTATCGTACCATTAAGAAAATTAGCATCTGCTTGCGTATAAAAGACGGAACGTTCATTATTGCTGCGGCACGCCGAGCTTTTTACTTCGTGAAAAATGCATCGATGATTGTAATTATTGTCGACTGATATCGATGATTGTGTTGAGAGATACGAAGTGTAGAGAAATATCGATCTTCTACACAAGACCTTTTTTTTTTGTTTTTTGCTGTTTCATATGTAGATATATGTGATTTTATGCGTTTCAGGAAATTATCAATTGAAATTCATGTCTTCGGGGTGTCATACTGAAGTGCCACGAAATTCTATTCCTATTTTTATACTCACGATCGCGATGTCGTGCCACGTGTTTTCAGTAGCTTCCGTTTTTTGTCGTGTAAATCACCAATAGGCACGGCTAGGCATCTCTTTTCGCGATCAGTTAACGGAACGTCGTGCGGCTTCTCGATGTCGTGAATCAATGCCAGAACAGGCAGCGCTAGACCGGGTATGTCCGTTCTCCAGGACACCGTTTCCTCATTCGACAGGCCACCAACGTTTCCACGCTGGTTAACGATCGCAAGTCGCGGTTGTGTCGTTTTTTTCTCCTCCTTCGGCAACGGTTGTTGCTCTTTCGGTGAAATCTCCTCGTCGAACGACTCTTTCTGAAAGGAAACTACCCGCAAAGAACCGTTGGTTTCGTTTCGTTCGCTAGACCGTGAAATTTTTAACGACACCTTTCGTCTGTATTTTCTCTTTATCTCGAGTAAACGTACGAATCACTTTTAACCTCTTAACGCTCGCCATTTTTCTCTCAACTTGATGCGTCGAAAATGATCGATTCGCGTTGTACGCGTGTGGAAATAAGTTTGTCATTTATTTGCAATGCTGCAACTTACATTTTTATCATGAAATAGAAAGGATAGCGCGATAAGATGAGTGAAAGAAAATAATTAAACGAGATTGTACTTTTTCGAGGATTAGTTGTGCATGTGTAAGACACAATTACGAGCGTTAACGGGTTAATAGATAAATTGTTACTAATTCATAGACAATAATGATTTCAACAAAACTTACTCGTTACAGTTTACACGAATTTTGATTTTGTGATCTTCTCGAAATATGTAGAGAAAGATTGTTAGTTTTAGATTTGACTTTTTTTGTTTTTTTTTTAATCTAAACAATTTTTCCAAGTTAGTTTCTGTAATGCTCACGAGCAACGATAGTCACGGTACCGTACGTAATGGTTTGTTCATTTATTTAATCGTTTCCATTTGAATAAGTCATTCGATCGCGTTTTTATGCGATATCGTCAGATCCTGTAGTCGGTTCAATTGAATCAAGGTAATATCGGCCCGGGGGTATTTTATAGTCACGATAAGTATGTTTACCAAAGTAACCTGATTTAATGGGCCGGCATTCGCAACACTTGGCCGTGTACCGAAAACTGGGCCAAACGATATCTCGTGTCATCGATTCGGTTTTACGGGACTAAATGAGCTAGCTAATATTTTTCCGCGAATCGTATTTCATCCCCCATTTTTTCTCTCTCTTTCTACATTTTCATTACGTACCTGTGTTCACGGGTGAAAAGAAATTCTTCGTTAAATGATAAAAGTAACCGGGAAAAAACCCCAAAAAATCAAGAACAACAAAATTCATCGATCAATTGTTACGTTAATTCGTTCTCTCTTCACGAGAATCGCGGCAAAATCGGGAAGAATAAAATTCGTCGGCAATGTATCTCTACTAAAAGAAAAGAAACGAAAATTTTCTCTCTTTTTCCTTTTTCCCGTTTCTAATCGACGCCGATTTCGTCGAAATCGCCAGGAAGAATTGATACATCGATTCTTAAAGGTGTATGTATATACTTTACGAACATTTTCGTTTCCTCAGGAATTTCATCGTTAAATCGACATCGTTCACGGCGCTCGAGAATGATCGTCTATTGTATAGGAGTGCAATTATTAAAACCCGATTACGTGGCGAGTTTCAATGGAATATTTTGCTTCAGGGTCAGTGGCGTAATACGAAGAGAAGAAGTTTGGTCGATTTAACGTGTTCGATCCTCTTATTGTCTTCACGGGTTTCATGTCGTTGCACGATAGAAGTTCCCTTTAATTAGCGACGGTATACGTATTAAAAGAACGGAGAAGTCGCTTATAAACGGACGATTTGAACGGGCCACGAGTGCAAGAAGTACCGCCAGGAATTTCCACGTTCAGTTCATACTTCGAATTTCTCCCAACGAAACATTTCCTGCGGTGTTCGCGGCGTGTATACACCGTCGACGAAAATTTTCACCGAACGGTTAACAATTTTTCAGAAAACAAGAGAAACTGTTACCTAATTGCCTTGTAACATTTTCTACACTTTCGCCTTTTAATTCAATCCTTAAGCTTTTGCTTAAAATTCAGTCCTTCGAGTACTCTCACTTTAATTCAACAGCAGAAATTTGAAAATCATAAATTTCTAATTTCGAAAAATTTTCAAACGCCGACACGAAAGATTTTGCCGATAATCTGCCGCGGAGAAAGGGTTAACAATTTCGAATCGATGCAATCGAAATTAACGAAAGATTCGTTACTATTAGGTTGTTGGTTGATTTCATTTAAAAATTTTTTACCTAAGCGAACCACAAGCATACCAAAATGAAGCTTGAAGCTAATAGAAACGATCGTGATGGTTCGTTAATTATTTCTCTATTAAATGGCAGATTGTGGATCACGAATCAAGATCCAATTCCATTAACCACATTTAATAACGAAATTGAAGTAAAGAACGTTTTCAAGGACCTCGTTGCACCCTAGAAATGCAGAGTTCTCTTTTAACAAAGGCACGAATAACCCTGTTTTTCGATGGTCAAAGAGTATTGAAACCAGTGGATCATACACCGATTAATAAACATCATTTTAACTAAAACTACAGGCGTGGAAAGTTTCATCGATACCTCGATCGTTTCATCTGCATAAATAGAATTGATTCGAAACTTTCGGCCTATAAATCTGCCGTACATTGGGAAAGATGTGTTAAATTTGTTTCGTGCAAAATTTCGCAGCACTTGATGGAAATCAGATAAAATAATAAAATTCAACCCCCTTTTTCTAATAATTATTTTCCACGGTGTTATTTATCACGAAAATGAATTTCGAGAGTAGGCTGTTATTTGAAGAATACAATATCGAATATCTGTTTGTAACTTTTGAAAAAAAAAGAAAAAAGAAGAAGGAAAGGAACGAAGCTTAATTATGCCACTTTAGAAATTACAAATGTTTTTCGAAGTACTGTAAAACGGTGTTATGTGTCCATTTAACGTTCCACGGAGATCGCGAATTGTTCCGTGTGAAGGAACCTTTAAAAGTTCGCCGAAGATCGGCGTAGAGATTCGTGCGGATAATGAACAAAAAGTTAACACCGCGTTGTTTCGTACGTGTTCTTTTTCTCTTGTACTTGAGGACAGTATCGGGAGAGGAAGACGGATATTTCGAAATAATTCGCGGCATGCGCAGCTCGCGTGCCTTGCGTCGCTTCTAATTAACTCGTTCAATTATCATTACACGGTCGCCTTTACACGTATGCATGTGTTATTAAATTCTTGCACGATATTCCGTCGCGTCTGTTTGAAATTGTCGTTGCTTGCGATATCTAATCATGCATAACGTGATCAGCCTTAAAATAAACATTTAGATAAACGTGAGTGAACCGATATTCTCGCGTGAAACTGAAACATACGTGGACATTCTTAACATTATCTACAATGTAAAATCATATTTTCATATTGTTTTGGTGAATTGTTCTATTTTCTTCCCCTTTCAGTTTTGTTAAAATGTAAAATAAGAAAAAGTAGATGGAAAAGAAAAAAAAGGTTGATTCTCTATTCAGTTCGTTCAGAAATGAAGAGCATCAAAGTTTGCCTACGTACCTGACTTGATGGGTTTTCTCGTGCTGGCCAATGCTAAATTAATCGACGTCTTGATGATCGAAGTGGTAGGTAGCTTGCTGCGTAGCTCGTCGATTAACTTATCATTTCTAGGCGAATTCTCGGTATCGCTATCGCTGTCCGCAGAGCTGACAAGGGACACCATTGTAACGATATCTATAGCTCTAGAATCAATCGAGTTTCTTCCACGACCGACTGATCGATTCCGTGATTTTCCATCCTCGTCCGTTTTGCAGGAATTTCCACCCCAGAAACGTCTTTTCGCGCTTCTAGAGCGCCTCTTCAACGGTGCCGATCTTATCGATCGACTCGCCGATACCTGTTCACATTCGTATTAATTATGCAACGCATCACTTCCTCAACTCATTAGCAATCCTTGAAATTTCTTAGAAATCATTTCTAAATTTCAGCTGACGTTGAAACCTCGATAATAATTACGCGCCTTAAATCTTCGATTTCTTATAAAGTTTCACATTTCCCTGATAAGCGTTATCATTTACAACCGTTCAATCGCAATTCGAGCATTTTCTCACGTTCGAAAGAAGAAGAAGATCGATCTTTCACGATTCTTCGTCGGGGTGTTAAAAAAACAACGAATATTGTTGGAAACTTCATACGAAATTATGCTTCTAGAAGGGGAGATACGATACTGCGTTCTTTTTGCAACGATTATCATCGCTGTGATAAAACTAGACTTTGAAATCTACTTTTCTTTTCTTCTTTTAATGCAACATAATAGTAACGGTAATTATTACGAGAGATCGATATCACAGGAAAAGTAGACTATCTTCAACAACTACGTTATACCTTTGTCGAGTCTGTATCCAGTTTCTCCACCACGTTATCTTTGCAATTCACGTTCGTTTTTTCTTGATCTTTGCTCTTCACCTTGGCAACCGTACTCGACGAATCGATCACGATGTTAACCTGAACGCGATTACTCGACGAACTTGATCGCAAATGCCGCTGCGGCGGTGCGGAACTGGTCCTCCTCGATTTTTCATCGATCCTCTGATTTTCCGTCGTTTTTCTCGACGGTGGATTTCTTTCGTTCACCGAGCTACATCTTATCTCCGACGTGTTCCTCGACGATGCAACTTTATCGGTGGTAAATGCATGTTTGTCCTCGGTTACGGCGTTCGTGGACGCGGTTCTTTTCATCGACACAGGAAATTTATTGGTCATCGTCTTGTTATCCGTCGAAGTATCTTTTCCTTCGATTAGTACCTTTGAACGCGCATTTCTGTCAATTGTAGACGTGGTCGATTTGCTATCTGTGGCCAGTTTTTGCGCCACGCTCTTTTCGTTGACCGAATTGCATCTGAATTCAGCGTTGTTCCTTCCATTCACAGTTCTCTCATTCGTATGAATATTCTCTTTGCTATCTACGGATGTTCGACTAGCCGAGGAATTTCTCTCGGCAGTTACTACACGATTGTCGGTCGATGATTTTTGCGATACGCTTTTGTCCGACACTGAATTCCGTCTGAACTCGGTTGGCGATCTAATTGGGTCGAGGAAGGCTCGGTTGGTGCCGCTGTGAAAACTCGCACGCTTCTGTTTGGCAGACGAAAAATCCTCCTTCGACACTTTCGCAACTCCCAGGGTCGAGTTTTCGATTTTAATCGATGGCAATGTTGTAGATAGAACGCGAGAATTCGAACAGTCGATACTTGGCGAAGGTTTCCTCTTCGAATTGGAAAGATACACGCCGACCTTTGAATTCCTCGATATTTGCTTGAAGAAAGAGAAAAGAAAAAGGAAAAGATACATTATATCCTTGTGATATTAACAATTAAATCAGTGTAACTGAATTTCACGATATTTAACGCGTTATTAAATGAACAACGATCGATTAATCGAAGGAACGAATAATTTGACAAAATTTTATATTAATCTGTGAAAAATTGTACTTCGTTCAATTGTTCCTTTTCTACGTCAGCCTCTTCGGGAACCTCATTTTCCTCCGATTCTATCGTTTCTTCCATCTCCGTGAAAGGATGCTCGATATTGGACGACAAATCGTCGCTATTCTTTCCTAGAATCTTCCTATCCTCGTTTCGTGATAAAATTCCATTTGGTTTATCAGTAACATCCTCTGTCTCTCTATTCCCGTCTATTCTCGATCTACGAATTTCATTATCGTGCGCTGTTTCATCGACGAGAGAAGTTTTACATTCAGACTCGTCGTTCTTTCGTGTAGGAGACGACGGAGCGGTGATTGTAGCATGACTCGACATCTCAGAGTCGCATCTCTCGGCGATAGTGCCACGAGCGAGAAAGATATTAATGTTAGCTTTGTTCTGCTCGCGGTGTTTCCAAGCGAGTCTCAATCTTTCCGCCAGTTCTTGTCTAGAATAAAGGATCGACGGTTTCTCGATCCCTACGAAACCTCTGGATCGTCCGGTGATCGGTCTAGATCGTCCAGGAATTTGACGAGCCACCACTTCAACTTGTTCCAGTTCTTTTTCATTCTTGCTACGGGTTTCCTTCCAGGCGACGCGAACCTGAAAAATTCGTCCACGATCGGTCCCACGATTAACAACGATTCCAAGGAAGAGATTGGGGGGCAACGTTGTTTCATCTAGAAACAAAGATCTACCTTAGGTCTTTCGGTGATCGGTTTGGTATTTATCCCACGCTTGCCGCGTGCAAACGGACTCGCGCAGATCTGCAACGGTTTGTCATCCTCCGCGGATCTCTGCCGCCTGATCTGTTGCCGATGTGACACCGGTGGTTGCAACGACAATTGTCTGACTGGTCTGACCGATTTTTCACGTCCTGACATCCCGGTTCGTAACTGCTCCCCACCTCGAGGCTACATTCTACGGGAAATTTTGTTCTCTCAACACGTCGAATGCCGGACCAATTCTGCGTAACTTGTCCGCGGCGTCGAAATGAATTTTTTATTTAAATACAACACATCCCATGAATGTCGACAGTTAGAGATAGAACTGTTTAAATATGCTCTGCGATGGGGATTAGATGGGAAATTGAACAACTATTACCGTTTATTCGAATGAAACGCTTTCGCTAATCTTGACACCGTCGGTCACCGATCAACCCCACGGCACTCAACGTGTTAACATACTATCTTCCTATCGAACTGTGTACCGTTATCTCTGTAACTACGACAATTTCAATATACACGCGACGAAGATAAAGAAAGAAGATGAATATTTTTCAATAGGATTAAATACCTAATACTCACTCGACAGGTTCGCGAATTAACGCGAAGGATCGAAACGCAGACACGATGGATGAACCTTCCATCGTGGTGGCGGCGCAAGCGAGCCAACGCCGACTGACTAACTTCATCCATTGCCCTCTGACACGATCGTTCACCACCACTGCCATTTCACCGATTTACCTTCGTGTTACCTGCCTACCACCAGCAATCGGTGCCTGTATGCGCCGCCGGTGCCCACTAACACGCCGTCGTTTCCACCCTCTGCCCGCCTCAAGGGGTGGTTGAACGATGTATTGCTCCCTTTAATTCGAACGACGCCCGATACTACCACACCACCATTTCGATCACAGCACACTGTCTCAACGGCAATGGTTAGGGTGGTCGAACTCACTCACGTACGCTAACTCGACATGCATTGCCCTCTGATTTGTGATCAGTGGCGTAACGCTAACCCTTTGACACCCCGAGGATAACAACGTGTGCTCTGTTTCCAGTGTTCTACGTTTCGATCATTCGTTCTATCAGATTTTCGAACTTTTCTTTTTTCTTCTTTTCCGAGATGATAGGCTGCTTTTACAGTTACACGGAAGATTTGCGGTCAGTGGCGTAACGCTAATCCTTTCACACCGTGAGGATGACAACGTGTTCTCTGTTTCCACGATTCGTTCTATGACATTTTTGAATTTTTCTTCTTTTTTTTTCGACAGTTACACCGATGATTTTTATTGGAAAATCTGTATGTTTCGATCGTTTTCTTGCGGTAGACTGTAGGTAGTTACGGGTGTTGCATTAGAAGTTTTTAGTTTGTTAAAGGTATTTAGAAGTTCGAATATGACGAATGTTTGAATTGTTTCGTAACGAAAGCCGTGTTTCCAAGTAATTTAACGTGTCACGCGGACAAATTGATAATGTGCTCTATATACCGTTCGTAAGTTTAGTCGCGCAGTGCATTTTCATTTCGATCCATTTCATACAAGTCGATGAAATTATTCCCCAATTGTGTTTCCCCAATAGAGTGAAGTTTTACCGCATTTCTACCAACAACCTTCCTTTCACAGGTGCAAAAAGTATTTGCATAGCGTTTAATTTAAAACAATGCCTAAAAAAATTGTTATTTTTCACTTAAAAAAGTATCGTTACATTCGACAAATGTGTGTTCGTTAATTTATTTCGAACTTAAAATAAACAGTATTTTACAATTTCGATGTTACTAAAGTTAGTACAAGAAGAATATTAACGTTAACATCATAAAAAGAATTAACGTTAGTATCTCAGCGTTCCTGATGTCGAGTACTAAATTTTTCACTGTTCAGGAGTGCCCTAATCCGTATGCAAGAAATTGATAAGAAAAGTGTCGGATCGAAATGTTAGCTAACGAAAGCTGTCCGACTCGAAGAGACACGATTGTGCCCAAACAAACTTTCTCTATCCGGTGGATATTTAAATATCTCCTATTACTTCCAATCGACGAAAAATCTTCGGTTCTCCTTTTGAAAGGAACATAAAGTTCACATTTATTTCTCTCTGGTTCCACGGAGAGTGTCTTCAATTGAAAATTCTCGCTGGCTCGATATTGTTACTCGAGGTGTTGCGATCGTGTTCGCGTTCAACGACGGCTCGATTCTCGCGGGAACGTGTCATCCTCGCGGCAAACTCGAATTTAGCCGGCAGTCACCCGGTATTATTGATCAAAACTTTACCTATCATCTGACAGCTTGTTGTCCGGAGTTACCATGGTATCGGCGATCATTCGAATTCGTTCCTCTCGTTCGTCTCTTTCTTGCCTGCCCCTTCTTCGTCCGCGAAGTCGCCCCCGTTGCGCTGCGGGGAGGATTTAAACGGGAAAGTTTCGCTTCGAGGAACTCGGCCACGTCGAACCCCCGAAAATTAAGAGAGTCCGCCCATTAGCGTTTGCTTGCCCTAATTGCCCTCTCTTATCAGCGACTTCGACGTGTTTGGCCCAGGGATGGGCAAACCGATGGATAATACCTCTCTCTCTCCCATTCTCTCCCCGCTCTTTTTACACGCTTTTCTATCCGTTCGTACATTTTTCAATATCACCCGTTCTTCGCTGAATTCATTAATCACGCTGTCACATAGATTTCTTCACTTTTATTCTCACTCTTCCGTACCGTGATTGAAAACATTAAAAACACTTGGTTGTAAGTCTTCAATTCTATCGTTACATGCGTATAAATAACCTTATCTTCTCGCTTAATGTCGAGTACCCGTCGCGTTAATAACAAATGAACAAAATAGATCTCAGACTTATAAATGAAAATTTCAATTAGAGTTGAAATGAACATTTATCAGGAATAACGCTAACTTCTGTAATATCTTAATCGTGATCTGTAAAGCAAAGGGTTAAGAAGCACTCTTAAGAAAAATTGTCGATCGACTAATGTAATTAACCGTGTGTAAAGTGTGACAAACTTATTTACTCGTTTCTGTAAGAAGAGTAAAGTATCCCGATTGGGAAACGCGTGTTAAAATAGATCGTCAAATTATTTGTCCGTTTATGGAAGAATACGCCTGTGTTGATATCGTATCGTAATATCAAGTTTGATCAACTTTTCATCAATGTTTCATTTTTGGAAATCGAGCTTGTCCATCCCTGTCTCGAATTCTCCAAGGAACGGCTGTCTATCGTGCTCGATCGCGACCGGAAAGTTCGACTTGCGAGGCTTGCCAAGAAATTTTCGAGGCCCCCGTTTCGCGATCGAGCCGTCTGATTGCGATTGATGGACGCCTGATTTGCCCGCGACACGAGAAACGGAATTATAAACTGTTTCGCCAAACTATTTCACTTCGCCCGAGCGTCTCAATTTCCTCCCTACTTCGAGGAAATTACTTGTACACGTAGAAATTTTACACATAATATCCGTAGAAAGAACGTGGAAGATACCTTCGTTAACCCTTTTAGTTCGAGTGGGACTCCAGAGTGTCGTACATTCTAACGAATTTCCAGATGGAGCTTTAAACTTGTAGAATTTTTCTTTTAGGGTTAAAATAGTCTACTTTGTACTTCGGATTGGAAGGCTGCTCGTTTGGAATACGTGCGAATGTGAAAATCACGATTTTTCTGATATGAGACTTTGGAGTCGTACTCGGACTTAAAGGGTTAATTAGCCAAAAAAAAAAACAAAAAAAACAAATGACCCTATATAGTCACGTACAAGCGAGTAATTCCTATACAGGATGCGGGATGAAATTTGCTCATTGGAGGCTCAGTTTTGCGAAAAAATCGAACTTGAAGAATTGTTAAAACCGGTGTGTCCTCGTGCAAAACGAATTTTCAAGCCCGATTTCCTCGAGAACTAAGCCTCGAATGAACAAATTTCGTTCTATACTTTTCTTTGCCCCTTTTTTCTTTCACAAGAAATCACGTCGAGTCCGCGTGAACGTAACTTCCGCATCCTGCGTAAAGGGTTAACACGACCGTTGGAGATTTTTATCATCTAATCGTGGACAGAGAAGAGAAACGTTATTATCATCTGGATGTGTAAAATTTTCAGAAAATGGCAAGCGAAAGTTCGTTCACTTCCTTGCTAGAAGAGGACCCGTTCACCGAGAACGACGAAAGCATCGAGGATCACTACTCGTCCGTGTTGAGAATATCCTTTATAAATAACTAACTGTCCTCGCGTTGTTTAAATCTTACGTCGCTAACTTATGGACAATGCAGAAACGTGTTTTTCTTTCTTTCTCTCTTTCATCTTTTCCTTAACGCTACGATATTCACGACGCCCTGGAGAATTTAACAGAAAGATACGAGGCGGAATTCTTGCAGCAGGCGTTGCAAAAGTGTTTGTCATCTTGTCCGGATGATTTGCTGGACGAGAAAATCTTCAACGAGACGCTTCCACTTGCCCGTCGTCTTTTAACCGAGGTAAAGAAGCAACAGAAATTATTTGATTTTATTTAATTATTTGAAATTATGAATATGAACGTTACGCCATTTGTGTGCCGCGTCTTCTCCAAGTTTATTCCCGTTTTTCGAAGGTTCTGAAGCAGATCGACGAAACGATACGTAGAAGTGCGAAAGCAGAGACGTTGAAAGAAGACACGAGACGACAATTGCTCGTGTGCTATGAATTGTCGAGCGTATGGGAAAGATCTATGGAACGTGTGTCGAAGCTTGATAAAACGTCCGCGATTAATCTTAAATGCATACTGGAGAACGCACTTGCCGCGATTAAATTAATATTCGAACACTGTAGAGCAAGGTGAGACAACAGATATTCACACATTTTTGATTTCATTCAAGAAAGTTTTCTTTTCCCGTTTAAATAATGATATATCGTAGAAAGTCATTCTAAATGTACGTGAGGACATATAGAATGAAAGATATTACACAGCGTTTTGGAACATTATACAATACGTGTACCGTTGATATCGCGGAACAATTTGATTTTTCGTCTGGAATTGAATCGATGTGAAATTTTCCACACCTACCTACGTGTTGAAAGAAGTTTCCTTACTTTTGTAGCAAGAAATTATACGGTACTTTGTTCGAGGACGTGTCAGAGGAATTAACGAATCTCTTTCGCAAGACGAAAACGATCTTGAGTCTATTCCTAGCCACTTTGGACGGTGTAATCGTCTTCGACACGGATACGGAATCGGAAATGGAGCTGTTGGTAAAAGGTGAGCGATCCTATTACGTTTTAACGATTCTTTAACCTGAATCATCTTTATCTTCATCGAGAGTGTACGTCGAATGTAGGAAAAAAAGAAAGAGTTTTTCTTTTCTATCTCGAGATCTATCAAAATTTCATCAAAATCAGCGATTATCACTTATTGCTAGGGGTGTTCCCTTGTTACCGCTGTAATTCACGTATATTTTCGTTCTTTTCTTTTTTCAAATACGATTCGTGAACTACGTAACTGTATCATTTAATTAAGTAGAGATCAATGTTAATCAACAGTTTTGATTTATACACGTGTATATTATCTGTTTTTTTTTTCCCGCTACGTTCATCACCGTTGCGTTTATATCGGCAACAGTGATCGATACAATTGGATTGTTCGTTACCATTACGCACGAGCTGGATCTGAAAACGTTCGTAGAGACGTCGAAAATGTTTGGCAAATTGGCGATCGCGCATCAAAACTCTGTAAAACGAACGAGGGTGACCAGCGTTACCTTCCATTTCGCACAACTGGCGAAAGATATATCGTCGATGCTTTCGTTCTGTCAGGTAGGTTTAAAAAAAGAAAATTAGGTTCGAAAAATGTTACGATTTTTCGTAGTGTTGAGTATTTTAAGTACGGTATTAGAAAACGATACAGTTGTAGTTTCGTAATTGAGATTTATAAGGTTCGTTGAAAGAAAAACAAACAAAATGATAATCCAAGATCTATATTTATATAGGATTCATCGTGTCGAATCGAGGAGAGAAAGATACGAGTTATCGGTCATTCGTTGAAAATTTTCGACAGACTAATTGCAGTTTATTGTTCGTGCATAAATAGCGAAATCCTTCCGTTTATGATCGAACTTCTGTTCAAAATGCACAGGTACTCGATTACACGAATTCACTCCTCGTTTCTTTTCGATTAGTTTCACAATTTTCATACTTCCTCTTTACATTCAGGTGTTCCCCTTTGTGTTTACAAAAATCACAGCTCGACGGTAAATTGATCGAATTGATAAACGTTCATGTCTCGAAGGGGACAGAGCCATTTTTGAGTACCGTTTTCAAAATTTCCGATTTCAAGCAGGTACGTTCTTACGCTTCGATTGCATGCAACGAAATTGTATCCGTTGTAAGATGAAATATTTTCGAAATATTCCAGGCATTCTTCGAATACGGGAATCAAACGGATATCGATAAATTAGGCTACTATTTATTAACAATTGGCATCATGAAAAAATTGATCGGCATGCCGTACGAACAGCATTGTAAATGGACATTAGGCGCTGAATCGATCGTCGATGTCGCATTGACCAATATTAATTACAGTAAGTACTCGATTTTATATCTCAGTATAATATCTATCGAGTTTCATAATATTCACGCGGTGAATAATTTTTGCGAAACAAGACGCGTTCGTGTAGATTTTTAATAAAACACACGCTCAACTTACAATTTACAGCATTTTTTTTCTTTCTTACATTTTTGCCATAAAGTACAGGAAGAGATTTGCGTGGGTGAGGTGAGATTACAAGGTGTACACGATATCGGTGAAAAAACGAGATCCGCCACATTATACGAAGTCGCATTGGTGTCAATTTGCAGTCTAATTAGCCAAATTCCCACAGAGGGATTTCATGCTGTTGAATTAATTTTGTTGAAACATTTGCTAAGCAATGAACTTTGGAGTTCCTTGCTCAGCTCGGATATTTGGTGCTTCATTGGCCGGTTTGTAAATCTTCCACACAGTTGAAATTAATAATAATTACATCCTTGAATACATTGTTCATTATATTTATGTGTATCTTTAGAAATCAATTCTGTTGAAAAATGTAGAAGGTTCTTTAGTTTTCCATTTTTCTAGTTACACTTCGTTTTCTAATTATTTACTAATTTACAGTATTACCCGTGTTAGTTTGATCAATTAAATTCAATTTTTTCAAATACTAATTCTCGAGGATATTTATTGAAATAGTACGTATTATTTTAAGAATCAATTTTTTCTTTTAATACAGACGGTGTTTCTTCTTTTCTCTTGATTTTCAGCATTGGGTCCTCCGAGCTTTGTGCAAGTCACGTGAAATACTTATTGAACGTGTATACCGTGTTAATGAAACGTAGCAACAGCCTCGAGGTCGTTATACTGGAGAATTTAATCGGAAGATTATACAGCTTGCTCTCAGAGGAAACAAGACATTCTCTTATAATCGAGCTTGACGATCTCGAGAATCTTTCATGGACACCTGTCGCGCGATTTTTCCCATTGAAGACAAAGCTATTCTTGCAAAACCGACTGGCTTGCGTACTAAACGAGATACCGAACACATTCGCAGAATTACAGAGACAACCTACAGTACAGAATTGGAATCGTATCGTATGTTGCGTTCGAATAAATTTCGAATCGAAAAGAATCGTCGATTTTGTAATGCGAAAATTAACCACTTGTTTTATCTTTAAAAGGCAATACTGATGTCGACGATCGGAAAACTCAATTACACGGTGGAGAGGAACACCGTTGATGTCCTATCCGAGATGTGGAACTCTGTTGCGAATACGATCGAAATATTTGAGGGAAGACAATTGGACATATTGTCGGAATTCATGTCAAAACTGTTCGCCGCTACGCAACCAGAAAAAATTCAGGACGATACTTTCTTCTCGGTACATATACATAAGTACACTTAACGTTCTGTCTGTTAAATTACCATCTGAGCGCCGAAATTAGAATTTTGTTCAGGGCCGTTCGATGTTAACGCGGAATTATCATCTCTTCCATTGCAGTACATTTGTATATAAATAATCGTGTGCGTCTTAATCGTTGATTAAGAAGATGTGCAGAGGTTAGTTTAATACTGTATATCTTAAACGAAATATTGTACGCAGGAGATATGAATTCACAAATTACGCACGGCCCTGGTTGTCAGTTTAACACTTTGATAGCCGCTGTCAATAAAATAAATTAAAGTATGGTAACTGTTTAAATAATGACCATGGGATTCGATGTATTTTTCTCAAAAAGTAATTACATAATTACACTGTAAAAGACTGAGAAAAGTGTAGAACGCCTAACTGGGCAGTAGATATGAGTGAAGGAGTGAAGGAGTGAAATGAGCAGCCGTCAAAGTGTTGATACATACTTTAAGTCACTACCTCTCTATATCGTTTCCGTCATCTATGCCTAATCGTTTAAAATGACGGTTTCAAGAGCGTCAAAAGCGGAGTGAAGCGAAGCGAATTGAGTATGCGTATGCACCTTTTGCCTCTGTGTCGTCCGGCAAACCAGCTGTTCAGTTCTGTACAGTAGATGTACATACCTTACTTGAACGATAATACGTTATCGATGAATAACATTCGATAATTTCAGATTCTAGAAGCAGTTCTGACGTCATTCCTGTGCTTTCCGTTACATGTGAAGGTAATTTCGTCGCATTATTTGAGGAACAATATCAATTTCTTCGCCAGCTGCGGCATTAAAGCTGCGAATGCGTTAGCAGAGCTCAATTGTCAACTTCTAGAAGACGAAAATCCATGGCTGCGGCAAGAAGCTTTGGAATCGTTCGATCATGTGGCTCATATGTGCCCAAATGAAGATCTAGTAACCACAATGGCTGCTGCGATTACTAGGAGGTCGTCATTGAATGATTCTCTGCCCTCTTATCTCTCTGGCACGGTTTATTATGAGCTGCAAGATTTTTCAGATGTTCGAATTTATTTGCAACACGTGGCGAAATATTGCCGTAATGCCTGCCATGTTTGCAACAATTACGAGGACTCTCAGAGAGATGAAAAATTTCCTAAGTTAGAGACTGAATCCGTTGAAAGGTTGAACGAAAGTTCATCTTTGAACAATCTCGACGAACACGTCAGCAAAATATGCGACGAATTGAGCAATATTTTACAAAAAAGTAACGATATCGGGAGTCACATTTTACGAAGATTGCGATCCATTTGCACGAAGATTTTAGATATGACTGAATTCAAATGAACTGCGCTAAAGCATACTTTGCAATGACTCGTAACACGATTTTTCTTTCTTTTTTATGTTCAATAAGTATTTTTCATGTTTCTACAAAGATTAAGAAAAATTTAGCTTCGATTTTCTATAGTTCAAATGAATCTCCGAAGATTTCATAACACGTAGAACATACATATATGTAAGTTTCATGCATATAAATGATTATTCGTTTTGTAAGAACTTGATTTTTATAATTGGAAAAATAAAGAAACAAAGTGTTCATATAAAAGTATAAAATTGTATTGACAAGATTTTTATATTTCAATTGAAATAAGTAGTATTTACGTGCAAATGTTTCCGATATTAGAAATACATATCAAGTATCCCATATGTTCGTGCTGAATTTGATGTCGAAATTTAATTCACAAATTCTTCTCACATTTTTGGTTTTTCAAATAACTTTCACTTTCAGCACGAATTTATGGAAAATACTTACTTATCTATTTACTTGTGAGTAGAATCCTTACTATATAGCACATATTATGCATTTCTAGCATCAGAACTGACGTATGCTTACATAAACATCGTTAGAACATTATCGATGTTTCAACTTGTTTTATGTGGTTTTTTAAAATTAATTTTATAGTAATAAAAGTTTGATATTATAAGAAGGAAAAAACAAATATGGTACAATATTAAAGTAGCGTAAATAATTAAAAATCTCTTGGCTACTATAATGAAAAATATTTCTATACTCCCGATGTAATTCGAGTATTGCTTTCTTCGAGGTATGCGAAATGAAAACATATAATACGCAATGAGTAGGTCTTGATGCGACCGTTTGCTATATCAGAATATAAAGCTATACTACTTCAGTTAGTCGCACATTTGTTGCAACTTTAGTTATCGACGAGACGGTAACGGTACGCTACTGTATGAAAATCGGTTCGCGAGTTCAAATCCGTGTTTTATAATAAGTACATATGTATTCGTTACTGTACGTGCATACAATTCTGGGAATAATGTACGCTTCTTAGCTATTTTCGAATAATATGAAGTGTTTTAACTTGTCACGTTAGATTTAATTATTACAAAACGTCAAAAGAAATCCTATTTTTTAAAATTGGTTTCTTTTCTTTCAGTGATACGTATTAAAATTTTGAAAGTAGCTGGAAGAAAGTATTGATAAAGTCTCATATTTTGTATAATCTGTTGATAGTGATGTTTATTGTTTTATTCTAATTATTTCTCTGGTGATTTCTAATTGTATTTCTAATTACAGTAGCAGAGAAAAAAAACGAATCAAACATATTACTTATATAAGTAAACATATTAGTTTTTTTTAATGTTAATTCTTTTTATAAGAAGGAAACAGTTCCAAGGTTTGTAAATATTGTACGTATTTATTTACGCGGTCTTTTGTTTTAGAGCTTCCACTGATTTGTAAAAATTTTTTTCTTCTATATTCTATATTCAATTTTTGTTTCTTCTATAAATATGTATAGAAGATACAAGTAAATACATATGTATATTACACGAGTTATGATACAGTTAAAAACAGGATCGTTGCGATCGATATTTATTTTTATTTTATTATTTAACTATTTAACGGTATTATTTGTACATGCAGATGGAAGACAAACTATTAAATAAATATTTGTCTAATGATGAAGTATTTAAAGCAATAAACAAACGTTTTATATCATTGAAAGATAATGAAGTAGAAAGGATTAATGTATATTTACAACAGGTATGTAATGTAGGTTGTTTCAAAAAGTTTGTGAAAAATAAACTATTTATAATGAGAAATCATTATTATGAAAATAATAAATCGAAATTTACTTAACAGGTAGTAGAAACCCTAATAGAACGTATGAAATTGAAAGATTCGTTATTTAATAAAACATACAATAAAATTGTTTTTTGTGGTAGTTTTTACAAAGGTACAAAAGTGGAAAGGCCAAACGAATTTGATTTAAATATTATTTTACATCTTCCTATTAACTACAATTATGTAAAAGTAAGAATATTCATAATTAACAATAAGATATAGCATATAAACATTTTTATTGAAATGTTTTCTTTCTTTTTTTGTTTAGCTTTGTTCAACACTACCAGCTTTTATTAAAATACATATAGGTCATCCACAGATAAACATCATATCAAAATATATAGTTCTTACAATGTCT